GGGCGGATCAGCTGTCCTCGCTGTGTCCCCATGTTCCCCTGGTGGGCACGTCTCCCCCACCACCCATGCTGCAAACACTTTCCATGGGATGGGTCCTGCGCCGGTCCCTTGCGATGACTCACCGATGACTCACCGACCTCCGAATGGCTCCCTTTTTCAGCTGTTCTTGCTCCTCGCTCCTGTGTGGGTCCACATGAACCCTATTAGTGGTCTTGCTGTCCTGGGGGCCGCCAAGGCCCCCTTCTCTCTTGCTGCCTCCAAGTAACTCCATCTGAAGGGCACAGCTGCAGCTTCTGCTGGCTCCTGCTCCATGTGCTTATCAGCTAAAGCCTTAAAGCAGCCGTGGCTTGAAATGCTCAGAGCAGCTTTTACTTTCTCTCATTGTAGTTTCTCCCACCTTCATGAACTCCGTAGGTCTTTGCCCTTCTTCCTCTGAGCTCCAGCGGCCCCGGCTTGGCTGATGTTACATTTTTATAGTTGTAAATTTGGTTGATTTGTGGGAGAGAGTGACGCTGCAGACTGTCTATTCCACCATCTTGATTGGATCTCGGGGATCAAATTTCCACATGAGTTTTGGAGGGGACAGCACATCCAAACTCCATCATCTACTGATGGATTTTTTTTCTAAATGTTTAATTTTATTCATTCAAATGCACACTAATGAATATCATAAGATTCATGTTAAAGATGATACATTTTATTACATAATTAAAAAGTTGATAAGCCAATCTTTAATCTCTTGTGTTTCATTGAATATGCTAAGTAAATAACATTTGAGGGAAAACTTTTTAGACAACTTTTGAGGCAACTTTTCAGGTTTTAACTATAGCAAACTGTCTTAGTTTGGCTGCCATAACAAAGTACCATAGACTGAGTGGCTTATAAACAGGAATTTATTTTTCACAATTCTGGAGGCTAGAAGTCTGAGATCAAGGTGCCAACATAGTTGCTTCTGGGGGGAACCTCTTCTAAGTTGCAGAATGCTGACTTTTCGTTGTGTCCTCACATGGCAGGAAAGAGAGTGGAGAGCTCTCTCGTGCCCCTTTTATGAGGGCACTAATCTCATTAATGAGGGCTCCATGCTCATGACCTAATTGCCTCCCAAGTCCCCATCTCCTTATACCGTCACATTTAGTGCTTGGATTTTTTTTTTTTTTTTGGAAAGGAAGAAGTAAAACTGTCTTTATTCACAAACAACATAATCATCTAAGTGGAAAATTCTAAAGAGTACTATTATTATTGAAAGAACGACAGGACCCGAGCTGACAGTTCACCAGAAAAGTTCTGCTTTATTTGAGGGTGAAGCATACATTTATAGAGAGCTGAGTTCCAGGAGAGGGTGGTTAGTACGCAGGGCAGTGGCTGATTGGTCGGAAGGTGGGAATGTTAGGACCCGGAAGAGAAGCCGGAAAGGCGCCATGTTTTAGGGAATGTCTCCTTTGGGGTTTTATGGGGCCCTACAATTATTATTATTATTTTGCCATAAAACAAGTCTTAATACATTTAAAAAGACTAAGATCATAGAAAATATGTTCTCTGACCACAATAGCAGAAGGAAATTTAGAAAACTCACATTAAACAAAACTCTCCTAAATAAGCAATGGGTAAGAAGAAAATCCCAGGGAAATTAGAGAGTACTTTGAGGTAAAAATCAAAGCACAAAATATCAAAATTTATAAGATGCAGCCCTCATGCAGTGCTTAGAGGAAAATTTCCATTTGTAAACAACTATACTAAAAATAAGAAAAATCTCAAATCAGCAATGTAAATTTGTCTTAAGAAAATAGAAAAAGTAGAGTAAACTAAACAAAAGCATGAATAAGTAGGAAATAACAAAGATTACAAAAGAAATATGTGAAATAGGGAATTAAAAAAACAATAGAGAAAACCAACAAAACAAAAAGTTGATTCTTTAAAAAGATCAACAAAATTTGCAAACCCTTTATCTAAATTGACCAAGGGAAAAAATGAGAAAAGACTGAAATTACTAGAATCAGAAATAAAGTAGGGACATTATTACATTGTCATTATGGTATTTTGTGGTGGTAAGATTTAGTTCCTTTCTCTTTCTCTTTGCTTTTTTGTTCTACCAGTGGGTTTTGTTTTTTCTTGTGTATTCATGGTAGTGATTACCATTTTTCAGGTTCCAAATGCAGTATTTCTTTGAGGATTTCTTGTAGGGCTTGGTCATGTGGTAGTGAACTGCAATTTTTGTTTGTCTGGAAAATACACTTATTTTCCCCTCATTTCTGAAGGATAGCCTTGCTGGTATAGTATTCTTGGCTGGCAGTTTGTTTCTTTTAGTATTTTGAATAGATCATCCCATTTCCTTCTGGCCTGTACAGTTTCTGTTGAGAAGTGTGCTGTTAGTCTGATGGGGGCTTCCTTATAGGTGACTTGATGCTTTTTACTTGCCTTTTTTTTTTTTTTTTTTTTTAATGACCAGTAAGGGGATCTTAACCCCTGACTTGGTGTTGTCATCACCATGCACTCCAAAGTGAGCTAACTGACCATCCCTATATAAAGATCTGAACCTGTGGCCTTGGTGTTATCAGCACCACACTCTCTCGAGTGAGCCACGGGCTGGCCCCTTTTCTTGCTTCTTTTAAAATTCCCTCTTTGTCTTTGAGCTTTGCCAGTTTGACTATTGTGTGTCTTGGAGAGGGTCTTTTTGGGTTGAATCTGTTTGGTGAGCTTTGAGCCTCCTGGATCTGAAGGTGTTGTCTCTCCCTATACTTGGGAAGTTTTCCATTATTATTTTGTTGAATAGGTTTTCCATGCCTTTTCCTTTCTTCTGCACTTCTGGAACACCCATGATTCGAATGTTTGTGTGCTTAAGGTTATCTGCTAGCTCTCTTAGATTTTCTTCCTTTTTTTAAACTCTGTTTTCATTTTTTTGTCCATCTTAAATCCTTAGGTTGCAGCTAGAGATTTTATTCGTTTGTTTTCTTTTCATGATTGTCATTTGTATTATAGTAATGGGTTTTTATTTTACTTGGATTGTTATGGCAGTGGTAGTTGTCTTCCAGGGGGTTATTTCAAAAAGACTATCTTCAAGATTGGAAATTCTTTCTTCTGCCGCTCTAGCCTGTTATTTAAGCTATCAGCTGTGTTTTTTATTTCCTTGAGTGAATCTTTCAGTGTCTGGGTTATTTCAAAAAGACTATCTTCAAGATTGGAAATTCTTTCTTCTGCTGCTCTAGCCTGTTATTTAAGCTATCAGCTGTGTTTTTTATTTCCTTGAGTGAATCTTTCAGTTCCATGAGTCCTGCTACATTCTTTTGTAAGGTATTAATCTCTTTTGTAAATTTCCTCGTTCATATCCTGGATTTTTTTCCTCATTTCATTATGTTGTCTTTCTGAGTCTTCTCATATCTCAGTGAGTTTCCTTAAGATTGTCACTCAGAATTCCTTTTCAGTCATTTCAAGGGTTTCCTGTTCTACAGGGTCTGGTATTTAAGAATTACTGTATTCTTTTGGTGGTGTCATATATTCTTGGATTTTCATATTTCTAATATTTCTGTGTTGATGTATTGTCATCTGGCAGAGCATTTGCTTTTTCTATTACTCTAGAGTGGGCTTTGAGGAGAAAGGTGTCCTCTTTTCCTGGTCTTCCTGGTGACTCCCCTTGTTTCAGTGCAGTTGAGTATCTGGTAGGCCATGTGCATGGTGACTGTGGCTACTGCTTTGGTGTCAAGCTGCTTTTTTGGCAGTTGTGGTGGTGGCTGTGGTGGGCCACCCACGCAGAAGTGGTGTTTTTGGTGTGCTTCTTGCCTGCTTCTGGGTTGGGTATGCTGCCCTTGGCTCCTGCCCAGGATCCCAGATGTGCTTAGTTTCTTGCCTGCTTCTGGTTGGGGGATGCTGCCCTCGGCTTTTGCCCATTACCTCAGGTGTGTTCCATTTGTTGCCTGCTTCTAGGTGAAGGGGGCCACCCTCGGCCCCTGCCCAGGACCCTGGGCATGCTCTGTTTCTTGCCTGCTTCTGGGTGGAGGGGGCCACCCTTGGCCCCTGCCTAGAACCCCAGGCATGCTCTTTTTCTTGCCTGTGTCTGGGCAGAGCAGGCTCTACTGATGGATTTTGATTATGTCCAGTTATGGCTGTTGTGACAAAAGCTGCTCTGAACATTCGTGTATAATCTTAATGTAGACTTATATTTTCATTTCTTTTGGATAAATATCTAGGAATGGAATTGCTGAGTTATAGGGTAGTTGTATTTTTAACTTTGTGAGAAATTGGCAAGCAGTTTTCTAATAGAGTTGTACCACATCCATCAGCAGTGTATGGGCATTTCAGTTGCTACATACACATCCTGGTTAATATTTGGTACTATCAGTTCTTTTAGTTTCTATCTGTTCAGTCCTTAAGCATTCTATTGGATGTGAGATGGTAGCTCATTGTAGTTTTAATTTGCATTTCCAGAAGACTAATGTACCTTTTCATGTGTTTATTGACTATTCTTATATCTTTGAAGTGTCTTCCAGTTTTTTTGTACAATTTTTATAAATTATATATATATATATAAATAAATATATATATTATTATTATTTTTTGATTTCTGTGTATTTGTGTTCTCTGTGTATTTTGGTCAAATATATGTATTGCAGTTTATTTCTCTCTGTAGCTTGCCTTTTCATTTTTTTAAGAATACCTTTTGAGGAGCAGGTGTTTTAATTTTGATGAAGTCTTTTTTTCTCTCTCTCTCTGATTAGTGCTTTTTGTATCCTGCCTAACAAGTCTTTGCCTATCAAGATTTTTTGATATATTTTCTTCAGAATTATTATAGTTTTAGCTTTTACACTTAGGTATATGAATGTATTCAAGTTGACTTTTGTGTATGATGGAGGTAAGTGTTAAGAGTCATTTTTTTCTCAACAGATATTCAGTTGTTCCAGCACCATTTATTAAAAAGATCCACTAAGTTACAGTGGCTTCTTTATTGTAAATTAAGTGACTGTATATGTATGGGTCTATTACTGGACACATCATCTTCCATATTCTTTGTTTCTCTTTAGTATGGCAGTGTCTTTAATATTGTAGCTGTCTAGTAAGTCCTTAAAATTTAATAGTTTGAGTTCACTAAGTTTCTGTTCTTTGACACTGCTGGCATTCTAAAGCCTTTGCATTTCCATATAAATTTTAGACTGAATATGTAATTTCCACCCCCCAAAGATTGGCTTGTATTTTGATTGGAATTACATTGAATCTATAAATCAGTGTGGGGAAAATGGACATCTTAATGTTGAATCTTCTAGTTCATGGACATGGAATATCTCTTTACTCACTTAGACTATGTTTTATTTCTCTAAGCAGTGTTTTGTAGTTTTAAGAACATAGGTTTTGCACATTTTTGTTATATTCATTCCCAGGTATTTAATATTTTTGATGGTATTTTAAGTAATATGTCTTTCAAATTCACTTATTAATTCTAGTTCCTTATAAATTCTTTTGGATTTTCTATTTACATAATAATTTCATCTGTAAATAAAAAGTTTTCTTTCCAATCTGTTATATCCCCCCCCCACTTTTTTTTTTTTTTGGCCTTTTTACATAAACTAGGATCTCTAGGATGATTTTAAGAAAAATGGTGGTAGTAGACATCTTTGTCTTATTTTCAATCTTAGTGGGACACATACAATGTTTCACTAATAACCAATGTTAGCTGTAGGTTTTTTGGATATATCTTTTATTAGATTAAGAAAGCTTCCTTTTATTCCTGGTTTTCTGAGTTTTCATTATGAATGGGTGTTAAATTTTATCAAATGCTTTTTCTGAATTTATTGAGACGATTATATAGTTTTTCTCCTTTATTTTGCTAATGTGAATTACATTGATTTCTCAAATATTAAACCAGCCTTGCATTCCTAGAAAAAATTTTGCTTAGTTATGATGCATTATATTTTTAAAATTTACATCTAGATTTTATTTGTTAATATTTCATTTTGGATTTTTGTGTTTATATTTATGAGAGATTATTGAGTATAATTTTCCTTTCCTATAATGTGCTTGTCTGGTTTTGTTATCAATGCTATGCTGGCTTTAATATAAGTTGGGAAGTATTTCCCCTTTTCTGTTTTATGGATGGTTTCGTGTAATATTGATATTATTTCTTCCTTAAATATTTAATAGAATTCACCACTGAAGCCATTTGGGCCTGAAGTTTTCTTTGTAGGAAGGTTTTTAATCATAGCTAAAATTTCTTTAATAGATAATATGGATGCTAGGTTTTCTGTTTCTTACTTTGTCAGTTTTGATGAATAGCATTTATCAAGAAATTTGTTCCTTTCATCTAAAATTTTAAATTTATTGTTACAAAATGTTCATAATATCCTCTAATTATCTTTTAATTTCTGTAGGTTCTGTAACAATATATTTTTTTAAATTCTTTGTTTTGGTAATTGGTATTTTCTTTTTTTTGTTTGTGTAGGGGTTTAATAATTTTGTTAATTTTTTTGAAGAACCAACTTTTGGCTTTGCTTATTTTCTCTTCTATGTCTCTTTTCTTTTTCACTAATATCTGTTATTATTTCCTTCATTCCTTGAGTTTAGTTTGCTATTCATTTCCTAACCTTTAAAGTTGCAAGCTTAGAATACTGATTTTCAGCTTTCCTATTAATCTATAATTTTCCCTCTAAGGACTGTTTTGGCAAACCCCCATGCTATCATTTAACTCAGAATATTTTCTAGTTTCCATTGTGATTTGACCTATGGGGTTGTTTAGAAATGTGATACCTAAGTTCTTAAAATTTGGAGATTTTCTAGTTACCTTTCTGTTATTGAGTCTTACGTGAATTTTACAGTGGTGGAATATATGGGTTGATTTTTTTTTTTTTCCATCCGATTTGGGAAGTACTCAGCCATTGATTTTTCTTAGTCCTTTTTTTTTTTTTTTTTTTTTTTTTTTTTTTTTTTTTTTTTT